TTTTTGTATTTGATTTGTTACTAAAACATATGAACCAATGATAAAAATCTCATGTGTCCAAAAAATAGGTTTCTCATGAAATTCTATATCTAGAGCCGATTCTCATCTCTCTCCTGTTTTTTTTTTTCTAAATAAGAGAAACTCCCTTAAAACCGTCTTACAACCCCCATTAGAATGCTCTAAGTATTGCTCAATTAAATGCAGTGTGTAACTGAGGGACACGTATCCAACACTAAAACATCACAACGCTCTCAACTAGCCCCATCATAATAACTAACTATAGAATATTTTACGATAGCAAAATTCACATTTGTAACATACTCAAAGGATGCGATCCATCTAACTTGAAGATAGAAGGAATAATCAGTTTTTGGCTAAATAATTTAAGGGGAATATGGAGTTTTTTTCTCTGATTTCGTATTGGTCGGCAAGAGCATCCTTATTAGAAATCTCTCATGTGATCTACCTAATTAAAAAACAAAAAATAATATAGTAGCTTGTGAGAGAAAGAGAGACGTCTCCTTATTGAGCAACGATTCTCAGCGTTTTGAGATACTCTATGCCACTTGTTCTTCCATTATTGGCACAATAGCAGCATGGATTTCCGAACTCAACAAAGAAACTATATTTGTATCTAGCACTTTTTTGGGCGTAGCAGTTATGCTACATATTGTAATTAGCTGTTGTAACAATAATACTTTTCACAATTTAATTTAATTTTTTTTGGTATAAATCAATAATATAAATGCGTTTGGCAACAAAGAAAATAGTTTTAGCAAAAAATACTATAAAATCTGGAAAACATTATTATAGTCCGACATACCATTCAGAATAAATACTTTTTAGAATCTGGAAGAGTTTTACGAGAATGCTACGTCAATTCAATGCATATCTTTTTTTTGTTTGGATCCGATCAGCCAATGCATTTATATCTAAGACCATAGACTATGTCTGTGAAATTGAAAATGGTAGCGATTAAAATGATAGTGTTGTATTAATCATGAACCAAAATAGTCTCAAACGAAATGTGTACACACTATCATCGCTATATATGATCTCATAATGCATTGCTCATAATCTCATCCATGTGATGATGATTCTCCGATGTGTCAGAGAGGTTTAGGTGTGAAAGGACGATGTATGGTGTCGGATACTATCGGCCAAGAATGATAAATCTTCCCATGTGTAGTGTAGTACGTAAATGAAAGTCGAAATTTCCCTATACAAACCTCTGCCGACACTAATGTAATATTTATATCGCATTATCACTACAAGAAAACATGTCAAATTTTGACCAATTTTTTTGTGGTCAGAAACTATTTTGACAATTTTCAACCAATTTTAGACGAATGTTTATTTTCATTATAAATTTGTCAAAAAATATGACGAAATATAAGAGTCGAAAACTGGTCAAAAATTTTCGACCAATTCTTAACGGATTCGTATATTTATCAATAAATGGTCGAAAAATTGCGACAAAGAAGATTGGTTGAAAATTGGTCAAGAAAACACATTAATTTTTGACCAAATTTTTTACCAGTAAAATTGTCAAAAAGTTTATTGATAATTTTTCGACCAAAAAATTATGAAAATTTAAATTCGTCAAAATATGATCAAACTTTTTTGACTAATACAAGTGGTCACTAAATAGTCAAAATATTCTTACCATTTATCGACTAAAACAGAATTTGGTCGATAATGTTGTGACCAATTTCTGACAAGTATTTGTTCGTCAAAAATTCGTGAGTAATTTTTGACGAACAAATACTTGTCAGAAATTGGTCACAACATTATCGACCAAATATTAATCATATATAGCCTTTTGTATTTGTCCCACATCGACAATATGGAATGGAACAATCTTTGACTTTCTCTATAAAATAAATCTTAGTCCATCTAAAAAACGTAAATGGACTTACCATAGCCCAAATAATTGTTTTAAAATATTTAATTTTAATTTAATTATTATGAATCAAATATTTTAAATTTGAGTTTCAATATTTTCGAATACCATTTTTAAAAAATTAAATATTTAAGTTGGTCAAAAATTAGTTGGAATATATAGTCGAAAATTGGTCAAAACATATAGTTTCGACCATTTTGATTGATCAAACAATTTTGACCACTTTATTAGTCAAAACCAAAATTTTGACCATTTTGATTGGTCAAAAACTTTCAACCACTTTATTGGTCAGAACCAAAATTTTGACCAATTTGATTGGTCAAAAACTTCCGACCACTTTGTTGGTTAGAACCAATTTTTTTACCATTTTTATTGGTCAAAAAGTTTTAACTATTTTTTGACCAAATTATATTTGCGACCACCAATTTTTGACGAATCGATTTTGGTCAAATTCTAGTCAGAAATAGCTATTTTTGACTAATTTTAGACCAAATTGATGGTTAAAAATGGCGTATTTTCTTGTAGTGTATTATGTTCCTAATTGGTTTATATTAATTCAACGTTTAGTTCTGTAAAACTCATTCATATCAACTATGATATATGAAATAAAATTTCCTTAAAACTCAAATAGATAACCACTTCAATATATATCTATATGATTTCTTCAACAGATTTTGTAGATTAGTGTGCGTTTTGGTTTATATATATAGGAGTCTCCTAGCTAAAAACAAAAATATATCAAAATTATAACAGAGCTTTATGGTTTGGGTAAGATATATTTAATACTTAAAAATGTAAATTATTTTACACCAAATGAATAGTTAGAGTAAAAATACTATGTAACGTAATAAAAATGTCTAATTACAAGAGATAGAAGATAACAAAAATGTATAATTATAAAATAAGAGCTGGTTTACTATTCATACGTATTTATTTTATGTTTACCAGAGATACTATTTTACTTTAATATGGTTTTTATGATGTTATACAATATGATACAATTATTTTGAAGTCGGTTTTTCTAATAAGTACCCGTTAATACCATCTTTTTGAAGAGAATCTATGTACATACCTGAAGACACCATGCTTTAAATCACAACATGTTATCTTAAATATTCAAATCACACCATGTTTTTTTTTTTGAAAACAAAAATCAAATCACACCATGTTATCTGGAGTTCAACGCGAAATCGTGGCAGCAACAATGGCATCCCACAATTTTATGTGTTGATCAAATTAGCTACATATTGACTTCGATTCAGAGCATAGAGAAGAAGGTGGTCACGAGAATGGAGAAGATGATGAGTATGTTGAGGAAAATGGAGCTACTACGTCGAGCCAATACCTGGAAGGAGTTCGAGAAGAAATTGTAGCAAGATTATAATAAGCTATAAGCTGATTCATTACTTCACAAATAACTATAATTTCTATTTAAAAAAAAATTGATGTAAACAATTTAAAAATAAATTTTTAAAATTATAGATGTTGAAATGACCATTTTAAATAATTTCACCATTCAATCTTTTAAGAATGTCTATAAAT